TATGAATTGACTAACAATTTCCTTGTTTCCTGTCTCATTCTGTTAGCATAGTGCTATTAAAATCTGACAGCAGTGCCTGATATATTTTTGCTCATTGCTTTTGCAGTTCTTTGGGTCAGAATCTTAAAACTAGTACCTATGTCTTTGAGATCTGCTTTGCAGTTTTCATTTCAATCTCGGGCTTGGTTCTATTTTCATTTCTCATTGGAAATATGCAGGTTTGTTCCAAACATTTGCATTCTTTGAATTTTTATGTCGAGTTTTTTGTTTTATAGCAGTGGAACTGATTTCTAATATCTTGTAAGACATGACATTTCGTTGGGAATTCTTTGTATTCTGTAGGTTTCTTCTAAATAACTAGTTTCTATCTTTTTATATTTGAAATATCCTGCATGAGCTGCATGCTACTCTACTCACTCTATTGTGCCTCTGGATGCCATTACTCGTCGGATAACATAAGTTAACTGTTTAAAATGGCTGAAGCTTTTTGGTTTATTCATATTTTATGATGTCCTAGTATTATTGTTCTCTATATTTCCTAAATAAAATGCTTATTTGCAATAAATAGAAATATACGAGTCATGCTGTTACCAATGCAGTTCTTTCCAGTTGCTCTTTCCAGAAAATCAGGAATATCAAATAACTCTAGTATATAGTTGTGTGAATACTTAAACTTCACTAACACATAAGGACTAAAATTTATAGATTATGATAAGTCAAATTTTCTGTGAAACAGACATATTTGCAATCCACAACTACCAGGTTGGAGGAGATGCGAGTGAAACGACGTATGCAGAGCAATGGATGTCCCACCGCTTACTACCTGAGAGTCTAAGAGAGCGGATAAGACGATACGAGCAATACAGGTGGCAAGAAACTAGAGGAGTTGATGAAGAGAATTTACTTTGTAATCTCCCCAAGGACCTAAGAAGGGATATAAAGCGCCATCTTTGTTTGGCTCTGCTCATGAGAGTGAGTACCTTGACGTTCTGGTCATTGTTTTAAATGAGTCGCATCCTTTTCAGGGAATAAGATTGATGTTATTATTTGACTTGTGTTTTCACTACCTATCACTAATTTTGGTTGTTTCACTCATTTGCTTCGGTGGTTAAGGTACCGATGTTTGAGAAAATGGATGAGCAATTATTGGATGCAATGTGTGATCGCCTCAAGCCAGTTCTCTACGGAGGAGAGCTACATTGTTCGGGAGGGAGACCCAGTTGATGAGATGCTCTTCATCATGAGGGGCAAACTATTGACCATGACAACAAATGGTGGAAGAACTGGCTTCTTTAATTCTGAATATTTGGGGCAGGGGATTTCTGTGGAGGAACTACTCACATGGGCACTAGATCCCCATTCTTCATCGAACCTCCCTATCTCGACTAGAACTGTTCGAGCTCTGACAGAAGTTGAAGCCTTCGCTCTGATGGCAGATGACTTGAAGTTTGTTGCTTCTCAGTTCCGCAGGCTTCACAGTAAGCAGCTGCGCCACACTTTTAGGTTCTATTCGCAGCAGTGGAGGACTTGGGCAGCTTGTTTATACAAGCAGCTTGGCGCCGATACAGCAGAAAGAAACTTGAAGAATCTCTTAGAGAAGAGGAGAACAGGTTGCAAGATGCTTTAGCCACTGTGGGAGTTCACCAAGTCTGGGTGCCACTATTTATGCCTCTCGGTTCGCTGCCAATGCACTTCGTGCTTTACGGAAAAACCGTAGCCGTAAAGCAAGAGTGACGGAGAGGATTCCACCTATACTGCTTCAGAAGCCTGCAGAGCCTGATTTTACAGCCGAGGAACAATAGGCAGGTAAGGAAGACCCACTCTGTCTGCTCTCAGAGCCTACTTTTATGTAAAAGGTGGTGTAAAACAATTTAGGAACTCATCCACATATAAGAATGTATGTATCTTGGAGGAAAATGGCCAATTATTTAGTCTGAGGTTTGTATATGATGTATATAAGTCTTCAATTTTTGTTTGTTGTGTTTGGGACAACTGATTTGCACTGTTTCTTAACCTTACTCGTATTTCCTTTTCCTTTTCCTTTTCCCTCTTCTAGGGAATGTGCAGAGGTGTTAATGTAGAGATTTTTTAATAGTATGTGATTACAAAGTAATATTCGTACCGATGTTAATGTTTTCTTAATTAATTGATACTCTATTGCATACAATCTACGAACATAATTGTTCGAACCCGAAACTTTTAAGGAGATTAACACTCTCTTTTATTATTGAGGTCAATACATTCGAGCACGTCAATAGGGTCAAATAAGAAACAATGGATGAATCGTAGTGGTTTTTATGATTTCAGTACCCTATGTCAGGATTAAATTTGATTATATTATTTGTTGTCAAAAAGATGGACTGCCAATCTAGAATGTGAACAGAGTTAAAAAGGAAAACAATGGATGAATTGAAGTGACTGTTGTTTGCATCAGATTACATATTTTGCTTAGAATGGCGTTTTAACTTATATTTTAATATTAAAAATAAGGGTAAAAACTAATTTTGAAATTAATCAAATTTATTAATCTTTTAAAAATAATTGAAAACCTAAATTAACTTGAAAAATATGTTTTCGAATATTCTTTTAATTTTGTTGGACTTTTTCAAATGCATATATAATCGTTTTTATACTTTGAAAATTAAATTTTCTAAGATTTTTTACTCAAAAGATCAATGACTTAATATAAGGATCGATTACTATAATCACAATAGCAATTGAACCGGTTTACTATATAAAAGGATCAATCACTTTCTAGGAAAACCTAAAAGGATTGATCCTTTCTTACCAAGTATTAATCCCTTGTAAAAAAGGATTGATATTGTCTTTCGAAATATTGGTCCTTTAACTGATAATAACCGAATATTTGAAAAGAATAGGCCACTCGTGTATTAAAGAGGAGCAATATTGTTTAAACATCATCCTTTAAAATATATGAACAAGTACAAATTTCTGCTACTTTGCCATTTTATTTACATCCTACTTGGGGATTGTATTATAGAGATGAAGTTATTGCAGCAAATAAGATATAATTATTTATCAGGATCTGGCTTCTGATTTTTTTAGCATCAACCATATACGATTTTGATAACTCACCAAAAGAGTTATCTTTGAGAATCTTTTCATATAGGTTAAGCTTGAACTTGAGCATTATTAGGAACATATTGGGACCATTCATTTGTACATGTTTTTGCATCATTTGACAATTGGGAGTTAATTGAGAAACTGTAGGCCTATTTTGATTTTATTGTTGGAAACTAGTACACTAATGTTGTGACATTTCTTAAAGCTGCAGATAATGATGCGTTGAAGCTGCAACAACTGATAAGTCACCAGGCAATTATGAGAATCTTCTGGAATGGACAACTAGCGGGGCAACTGTCAAATGGCTAAAAATCACTTGAAATGTGGAAAAATATTATTGGTTAAGGGCTAAATTTCCTCGTTTATAAATAGGAGGGGTATTCGCATCATTTAAAGAATAACTTTTCTCTCCAAATAATTTCTCCACGTATTTTATCTTTAAATTAGCCATGGTTGCTTAGACCCACCGCTAGGGAGTACTACAACAGTTTGGGGAGATCTGTCGTGTAGCGACAGACAAGAAGTTCTTATCTTGCTTATACTCTTGTTCTTCGTTGAGATAGGAAAGTAAAAAAAAGTACATTTGAGATATGTTGTTACACTATTGGGATGTTATTTTGTACTAAGCATTAATGTTTGTTTAAATGTTTTGCTATGATTTATGTTTAAATCTTATGTTTATTTGCTATCACACTTTTAAGATAACTTTAGAAATAAAATTATCTTCATGTATATCTTATTGATAATGTTTGGAAATGAATATTATATTTCATGCTACTTATGTTCAACATTTGTTTTGATGAGAACCAATTTTGTATATTGAGATGTATGCAACCAATAATCCAACATCGTTAATTGTTTAATTACTTGAATGAATGAAGGTTGATTCTTGTTAGTTAAATGTTATTAATCTTTTCCAGATACATGAATGTATGGGTGCATGCATAGTTATAGTAAGAGCGGCCAATTATCTTCCTAACCCATTCAATTATTGACCTAATGCTCTCCTTAACATTGTAGCACTGCCTGACACTTATTTCCATGATTTATTTAATTACTGTTAGCTTTACTTCACCATTACAACCATATATCTTGTAGACACTTTTCACTCATCTCTATTTTAATTTGTTATGTTCTCTCTGGGTTCGACGTCCGAAGCTTTCTAGGTTTCACTTTATTACTTGACACGATATGTATACTTACGTTATTACTATATCATCATACGTAACATCAAGTTTTTGGCATAGTTGCCAGAGAGCATCAATTTTACATTAGAGTTATTTTTTTTAAATTTTTTTACTTATTCCTTTTCTTTATGTAGGTACCTCTTTCCTAGTTTAGCATTGTTGGTGTATGCCCCTTAGCAACAATCAAGATCTAGAGCCTTTTTATCCAACGTACTTTACGTGAACGTCGGAGACAAGCAACCCGTAATCGAGAAAACATGAATAATGATAATAATGCTTTACCACTATTGCAACATGATGTTGAGGAAGAATTACAGGATGGCAATGGAGTTAATCAGCCGCACTACTATAACTTTGATGATCATAACCGACCTAATAGGGAGCACATTGTGCTAACGCTAGATGATTTTTATCCTAACATCGTACGACTAGCCATCCACCCTACCAATTTTGAGCTAAAACCGATGATGTTTCAAATGTTACAATCCATGGGGCAATATAGCGGTTCATTCACTGAAGATCCTAGAGCACATCTTCGAGAATTTATGGAGGTGTGTGACTCGTTTGTTCAACAAAGAGTACCTAAGAAGTACTGAAGCTGAAGTTGTTTCCTATTCGTTTTGAGATAAAACTAGAGCATGGTTGAACTCACTGCACCTGGTGCTATAGCATCTTAGAACGAGTTAGCTAATTTTTTTGTTGCAATTCAATCCGCGTAATATGAACGTCGTGATACGAAATGACCTGACATCTTTCAAGCAATTAGAAGATGAGAATTTGTATGAGGCATGAGAATGTTTCAAGGACTTGTTACGTAAATGCCCAATGCACATCTTTCCACATTGAACACAAATGGAAATATTTTATAACATCTTAAATATGTAAACTCGTATGGTGTGATGCTTCTGCAATGAGGCATTGCTAGATAAGACGTATAATGAGGCTTATGATATTTTAGAAAGAATATCAAACAATGATTAGCAATACCCCAAAACGAGAAAATATTTTACAAATGCAATGCTGCAGCAGTGGATACTAATGATTTCAATTCCATGGCTTCCCAAATCACAACATTGAAGGACATGGTTAAGAAGTTACAAAAGCAAATAGGAATGTATGAATTAAAGACCACATCTCATTTTTCATGTGTTTATTATGGTGATGGTCATAACTATGAAGAATGCCTAAAAAACATGAATCTATCTATTATGTGAGGAATTATAATAGAATGATAACTCTTATGGAACACTTATAATACCAACTATCGCAATCATCCCAATTTATCTTGGAGAAATAAAAATGTTTCCAATCCACAATAGTAACATTACAACCAGCAAAAGATGATTTCCCAACATCAGCAACAACAACAAGAAGCGCAGCTACAACTGCGTCAGAATTATCAAGGACAACTTTCTAACCAAGCTACCACACTTACATCTCTTGAAGCTCTAATGAAGGAATATACGACAAGTCAATCATCATCGTCAGAGCTTTATAGAATTAGGTAAGAAAACTAGCAAATGTTATGAGTAGTAGGCAACAAGGAATGCTGTCTAATGACACTGAAATTCCAAAGCCACAAGAAAAAACCCAACGCAATGAACATTGCAAAACTATCACAACTATAAGTGGTCTCCACATTGGAAAGCCTACTGAGGAGACAAAGAAGAAAGACGATGAGAGGATTGAATGACAAGATAAGGGCAAGGACATGGAAGTGGATCTTGAAACACCAGCTGTTGATGTAGCAAGAGAGATAGGACAGTGTAGTAATTATGGGCTATTGCTAGCAGCAATGCCAACCACATTGTCGGATGTCGTGCCACCTGCAATGCCAAGATAACTGAATCCAAGATCTCCACTATCATTTCCCTAGAGATTTAAGAAGAATAAGGAGGACCAACAATACCAAGAATTTATTGAGGTGCTCAAGCAACTAACCATCAACATCCTGTTGATTGATGCATTGGAGTAAAATCTGAATTACATCAAGTTCATGAGGGAAGTTCTTTCTAAGAAGAGAAACGAAGAATTTGAAACTGTTGTACTCACCGAGGGATGTAATGTTATGGACACAAGCCATTTGCCACCAAAACTCAAAGATCCAGGGAGTTTCACTATTTTTTGCATTATTAGTGATCAATTTGTAGGTAAGGTATTATTTGATTTAAGTGTTAGCATTAACTTAATGCCATTTTCAATTTTAGAAATTAGGAGTAGAGAAGCAAGACCTAACAATGTCACTTTGCAACTTGTTGATCGATCCATTGTGCATCATAGTGGCATTGTTAAGAACATGCTAGTTCAAATGGACAAGTTCATTTCCCAACTGATTTCATCATTATGTATTACAAAGCTAATAAGGATGTTCCCATCATACTTGATCAACCTTTTCTTGCCACTGGTTGTGGTTGATTGATGTTGAAAAGAGAGAACTAACTATGCATTTGAATGATGAACACGTTACTTTCAATGTTTTGCATAATGTTTCATGTGTTCATGATAATGTTGAATGTTATTCGATTGATGTTATTAATTTTTTGCGTAAGAGCAATGGGATGAATGCTACAACATGGACAATGTTGCGAGCAATAATGCAAAATCAGAGCAATTAATCGAGAATGAAGAAGTTGAAGGCAATTACATACAAAACTCTTAGTCACTATAACTTCTTCACCGTCAAGCTTCTAAATCCTCGATTGAAGAGCCACCCACACTAGATTTAAGGTCTTTACCCGAGCTTTTGAAGTATGCATACCTTGGAGACAATGAGACTTTGCCTATTATTGTTGCAGCAAAGCTTAAAGCATTACAAGAGACAAACTGACTGCTATTTTGAAGCAGCATAAGTAAGCAATTGCTTGGAGCATTACTGATGTTAAAGACATTAACCCAACAATTTATATGCACAAGATATTGCTGGAGGATCCCAACAATAGTTCTATTGAGTTGTTCAAAAAGAGATCATCAAATGGTTAGATGCTGGAATTATATATCCTATCTCAGACAGTAATTGTGTTAGCCCCATTCAATGTGTTCCGAAGAAGGGTAGCAATACCGTGATGACCAATGACAAGAATGAGTTAGTTCCAACAAGGACCACTACTGGTTGGAGAATCTTCATGGAGTATAGAAAACTAAATAAAGCCACAAGGAATGACCACTTTTCAATTCCATTCATTAAGCAAATATTGGATCGGCTTATTTACAAAGTTTTCTACTGTTTCCTTGATGGATATAGGTTACAACTAAATATCCATAGTCCCTAAAGATTAAGAGAAAACTATTTTCACATGCCCATACGGTATATTGCGTTCCGAAGATGTCGTTTCAGCTTGTGTAATGCTCTAGTAACATTCTAGTGCTGCATGATGGTAATATTCTCTGATATGATTGAAGACTACTTGGAGGTATTTATGGATGATTTCTCTATTTTTGGGAAATACTTTGATCACTGCATTACCAATTTAGCCTCTGCATTAAACGATATGAAGAAACTAACTTTGTATTGAATTGAGAGAAATACCATTTTATTGTGACCAATGATAGTGCTAGGGCATCGTATTCTCACAGAGTTATTGAAGTAGAAAAAGCTAAAGTAGAGGTTATTGAGAAGCTACCACCTCCACTAATGTGAAATTGGTGAAAAGTTTCTTAGGACACGCTGAATTTTATCGAAGGTCATCAAGGATTTTTCCCAAATTGCTAGACCATTGTTTTCACTTCTAGAGAAAATAGGAAATTTGTTGTTGATGTTAAAGTGATACAGTCTTTCGAATGATCAAGTTGAAGCTAGTCAATACCCCTATTGTAGTAACACCAGATTGACATCTTCCATTTGAGCTAATGTGTGTGAGTGACCATGATGTAGGTGTAGTGCTGGGACAAAGAAAGAAAATATCTTCTATGCTATACATTATGCTAGCAGGACATTGAATGATGATCAAGTCAACTATACCACAACTGAGAATGAATTACTCATTGTTGTTTTTGCCTTTGACAAGTTCTGATCTTACCTCGTTAGAACCAAGGTCATTGTCTAGACTAACCATTTTGGCTTTGAAGCATTTGTTTCCTAATAAAGACACAAATCCAAGGTTAATGAGATGGGTGTCGCTACTTCAAGAATTTGAATTGAAGTTCAAGATAATAAAGGGTATGGAACCAAATGGCCGATCATTTATTAGGCTTAGAATTCAATAGTGAAGATGGAAAAATACTAGTGATTCCGGATACTTTTCCCGATGAGAGGTTGCTTTCCATTGAAGTTTTACCTTGGTACATGGATTTTGTTAATTATAGTGAGTGGTTTACTACCACTTGACCTTAATCACCAAGGTAGAAAAAAGCCCTCACATTGCTTCTACCACACTAAGCGAACCATTTCCTTCTTAATTTCTTATATTATTTAATAAGTCATCTTTGATATTACTCTAGTATTATTTTCTTTAACATTTAATTTCTGTTATTTTTCTGTACTGGTCTTTGCTACAGCTTTGTTTGTTGCTTCCTTGTTCTTATTTCACCTCTACTTCCTAATAATCTTTACTACTATGGGTAGTTGATGTTGCATACAATGTTGGCAGCAATGGATAGTTGGGCCATAAAATTTAAAAAGTAAAATAGTAAATAAGTTCTTACCCACTCTTCACCATCAACCGTTCATTTAACCCAATCTTAGTTGGGCATTCAAATTTTATAGCACATTCTATTTTTTCCCTATTTCACCATCCATTTAAAATAAAAAGATAAATTCTTATCTTTATCCACTCTTCCATGCAATATTTAATACCCCCACTAACCTAATCTCATATTCACTTTTTACTTCCTCTTTTCAATTCTTCTTTCAACCGTGTTCTTTCTCATTCGTAAAGCTTTTTCAACTTCTCTTTTTCATCTTCTTTCCATTTTTGATCAAACCTTTCACTCATGGCCCCTAAAAAAAAAAATGATGTCAAGACCTTTGGCTAAACCCTGAATCTATCGCCAAGAGGACCATCTTCTCAGCTGTTAGCTGTTTCTGGCCAGGGCACGTGTAATTCCTCAATACCGGGTTAGTGACCAAATTGTAAAATTTAGATTGGTGATTAAAGTAGAATAGTTGAATAGTTCAATGATTTATTTGGAAATATTTCCTGGAAGTTATAATTATCAAATAGTCAAAGGGCAAATGGGTGATTGAACAAGGAAAATAATTAAATAATAATTAGTGGGTATTATAATACCAATTTGGAGCATGTTTTGAGGAGATAAGTTTCCAGACTTATCTTCTTCATCTTCTTCTCTTCTCCAACGTGAACCCCAAGATAAGGTGAGTTTGATTTCTTTTGCTTAATCCTTAAAATTTAAGTATGGTTTGGTTAAGGAAGACTCAGGAAACATGATGGAGAAAAAGGTCATAGAAAATCAAAGATTTGTAAGTTATGAAAGATTAAAGAGAATGGGTTTAAAGAATTTTTGGAAAAGAATTGATAATTTGAATTTGAAACTAAATTTGACTTGTCATCAACTTAATTAAGAGATATAAAGTTATAGAATTGGATTTAGAGCATTTGAAATTTTGGTATGATTGATTTTCATATGAAAGATGAAATTTTGAGGTTAATAATGTATTGAATGAGTAGAAATTAGTAAGTATGTACTTGAATTAAGATTATGAAAGGGAATGAAACATGAAGTATTGAAGCTAAAAATAGTGAATTTTCGTGCTTGAATTGTAACACCCCAACCCGTATCCGACCCAAATACGAGTCCGAGATGTCATTGACTTTTCAAAACCTTTTTCTTACAAAATATCAAAACATTTGAAACTCATTTTAATAAAATACGATCATAT